GCAGACACAATGCAAGGTGCTTTGATGATTATTACAATATGGTTTATAATGTCATTGACAAGTTGTTTTCTACGAATAACAATTGGTAATCGTATCAAAAGTGAATGGACAGGTGATAAGGGTATGTTTTACTATGGTGGAACAGTTCAATTAGGATTGTTATTAGGAACTATACCATTATATATCTTAATTAATCTATTTGGCATTTTTGTTGATCGAAAACCATGTCAAGTATATTGCGTATCTTGATATCTACAGATATCGAATTTAGCTGAGACATGCTTTTTTGTGGACTGAAATCTTCAGCTTGATGTTATTGTCGCATTTTAGTTTTTTTTTAAATATGTACGTTTTATTTTTAGAAGAAATATATTAATATACTGTCTTCTCTTTTTCCATTGTACCTACGAAAAGATGTCTCTCATTTGTTAGTTTCTCTTTACTTGTTCAGATGTATGCATATTCCTTCGATGCAGGACATCACTCGATGCATAATGACATGACATACACGATGTTGTAGTCGATTCCTCTCAGCAAACGATGGTTCGAGTGCTATTATGGATTTGATATCAGTGAATACAGGTTTTGGTCCGATTCAGGCCAGTTTTTGCGACCTTTTCTCTCTCTCATACCATTTGTTGAGAGCGATTGACCACATCATCGTGTGTATCATAGCATTATGCATCGATTGTTGTGATCTATCTCTCACGACAAACGATACTTCAGATGCTATTGGGGGTCGGTTATCAGTTAGTACAGGTTCTTGGTCGATTCAGACCAATTTTTGCCACTTGCCAGCTTCTAAGAGCGTTTGCCGAGAGAAAATGAGCTCATCATTCAATAGTCTATGAAATTGTGCATTGATTGATGTACATTTGGCACCCCAAAAAACGCAAGGATAGGAGCTGAAAAATGGATCTAGGAAACTAGATGACACATGTTTGAAGTACTTTAGCAAGTTTTGGCCTCTTTTGAGCTATACAGATCGTTTTTCGAGAGAGAATGATTTCATCAATCGATAGTCCATGAAATGCCGCATTGATTAGTGTATGTGTGGTGCACCTGAAAACTAGGACACTCTCACAAATAAGATTATTTTGTATTTCTTGTTGATAACTTCTTTTCTAAAAGTATTTTTGGAAGAAAAGGTCTCAGTAGGAAATACATCTACAGATTCTGTATCGACTAGTATCCATGATATACGTTGACAAACATCAGAATAAGGAGAATCTAGAATGATTCGTGTTGCTCTATCCGTCTATGGTATCCTTGATCATTCTCTTTCATTGGTTCGTAGAAGGCTACCAATAGAATCAACATCACGATCGTGGTGACAGATTGTGTTGTATTCGTTCTCTCATTGTTTAACATGTCGGCACTGACCTACTCAACATGGATGCAAATTTTAGAGTTTGAATCTTGAGAAATGTGCTAATCTTCGATATATATGATTAAAATTAATACAGGCCTCCTCCTCAAAAAAAGTCACTTTTCACCAGAATCGTCGAAATTGAGATAACTGCATAGGAAGATAGCCCGTGATCTGATCTTTCATAAATGACAAAGTTTTTTTTACTGGCACTTCGCTTTTTCCAAAAATTTTTGAAGATTTCCGTCATTTCCTATTCAAAAAATAAACCATTTTTGGAAAAAACTGGAAGTCTTTTTCGTTTTTTCTCGGTTTATGGTTTTTTGATCTTTTGTTCAAAATTTCTCGGTTCAGATTCTATCAATATATTTAAATTTTTTTTGTTTGAAAGAGCATGTCGAGATGCAGGACACCACAGAGTCCTTTTTTAATTAAGCTTTAGTCTTTACTATATATACAGACATTTATGTAACTCTAGACATCCACTTTTGGCGCGTTTTTGACTAATTGAACTTGTGATCGCCTTTCTCTGCTAAAAAAGTAAGAATTTAAGAAAAAAGGATTCTGTGGTGTCCTGCATCCTGACATGTGCTTTCTAACAAAAAAAAATTTAAATACATCTAATGAGCCTGGGCCGAGAAATCTTGGACACAACATGTGCTATTTTTGACCCTTGTTTGGTTCATATCTTTGTCAATCATCGTGGTTTCGAGCTGAAAACTTTACCACAGCCTCTTCACTGCAGCCCCAACATATCCTGAAAATTTCACACGATTTCAATATACTTGGCTGTGGAATTGATTTTGAGAGGGGAGGGGGAAGGCCTTGAGAAATAAAAGTAGATTAAAATTGATTAAAATTGATTAACACATAATAAGTGGTTGAAACAGATTAGTAGGTAGCGTAGAGTGACACATGTAAAAAAATGGAAAAAAATCTGATTTTAATTGGCTTTTTTTTGTGATTTACACTCGATCAAAATAGTACGATTTTAATCGATTTTTAATCATAAAACAATAGATAGAAATTAGATTTTTTTCCCATGTTTTTTTTCCACATGAGTACAGCGTTACTCTTCTCTTTTTCTCTCATTCTGCATTATTTACCAATTCATTTCTTTATTGATCCTTTTTCTTCTCCGATGTTGCAATACCTTAAATAGAAACATGACAGAAGCCTTCAAAAAGTAAAAAAAAAATACGGCAAAAAAGATCGCTGGAGAGAAATGAAGGAAAAAGAAGAAATCACATACGCATAAAAAAATCTGTCGTTTTGTTTGACTAGCAATTATACTGGCAACATTTGAAAGCGACCATTTTTCACAACATAGAAAATGAGAACCTATGACAACAGCAAGCCTCTATATTAGAGAAGTGAAAACCAAGCAAAAGGTTTTCTCGTTCAAGAATGGTATCTGTATGTAAATTTATTTTTCAATAGGTTGCCACGTTTTGTGCGCCTAGATTTAACATTTGCGAGAATCATATGCGAGAATGTGTTTTTGTTTTTTTTCACATTACCATGTCATTGCATATCTTCGAGCCATTTTTCCATTTTCTCGAATAGTTTCATTGTCAAAAATTATTGAACATAGAAAACTCAAGGAACTCTCTACGATAACATCTTAAAGTTATAAATTTCAATGAGGTAAGACAATGAATACACGAGTTAAAGATAAAAAGAAATCGAATGTACATACAAATTATTCATAT